GACGGCTTCAAATTTTTCTGGGGGTGTCGGGACTTAAGTTCTGCCAAAGCTTTGGAACCTTCCCACTCAGAAACGGACCAAGAGGGACCCACTGGTGTTGTGAGGCCACGCTGATGGGACACCTGGAATTCATGGTAGAAGTTCTTCAAGTCATCTACGCTACCTAATAAATCATAACCGTCCGGAATGACGATACCCAGCAACGAGCTTGGGTGTCCCATCTTGGGTCCGCGCTGAGGTGGGCGAAGCTCCCTACTATTTCGAGGTCGTCTATCTATGATTTGCCTTAGCTCCCCGTCTGGCTTTGAAATGCAAAACAAGCCACACCTGTCTTTCTGGTCAATTTCACTGGGTAGAGCCAGGCAAAGTCTGTCCACTTGATCCCAGCGCCATCCCAACTTCAGCAGCTCTACTCGGGCTGCGGCCGACACCGCGTCTGGTGGCATCATCCGAACCTGTTCCTGATATTGCCCATGCAACAAAGTGTTTGGGTCATGGTACGCCTGTGCAAAATCCCCATCTAGGAAGGGCAGAGGGTCAAAACCTCGAAGGGCATCAGGAAAGGCTACGGATGAGGCCACCGTGGGACAACAGCGGCCGGGGATGACGTCCTCTTCCCTCGGCTATGACCCTGATTAGAACCATAGGGAAGATCCTGGTCGCTAAACAAAACATGCACCTGTTTTAATTCGGAGGCTGTGGTTTCAACCTTTGAGCCGCGCCCCGAGAAGACGTGTCCACGAAGGCGGCTTAGCGAGCGAGCCCTCAACAACAAGTTATCCACTACTACCTGCTGAGAAGCTAGTAAGGGGACCCCAAAATGCCAGGGCCCCGTTTTCCCAAATGCAAAATTCAAACCCGCTATTTGCAAGTTTATCAAAAGTTCCAGAGCCCTCCTATGCCGCCATCGTTTGCGTTTCCGTCGGGAAGAGCCGTGGATGACTTCAGCAGGAGACCATGGAAATGGCACTGGGATAGGAAAAAGCTCTGCAGACCGTTTGTCGGACGGTCCACTGCAGCGTCTACCAGCATGCAAATACTTGGCAAAGTCTGTCCTAGAACTAAGAATCGAATTAAGCAAAAAGACTGGCCACTCTTCAAAAGTTCGAGGAGCTATTGCTGCTCCTCCTGATCCGACTTGCGACCGCCGCGGCCTCTGCCTTTGTCGCCTTTCTCGGACCTGGGAGGAGCTGCCTTTGGAGCTCCACGCCGTTTGATCAATGCCTCCTCGTCCTTCAAGCGCGCCGTTACGGCGGCGGCCCAGGTGGCATGAATCAGGCGTGAATGGGCATGATCTACACGAAGCTGATGCACGGAAGTCTCTCGCACCTTCCATTCCGGAAAGGGAGGGAGGCCCAGATGCGTCAATCGCCAAGCTGACTGCCAATTCTGGTCCAAGTGATACTGCTCGACGGCAGCCAGTGTGAGCATGAGGACAAGCTGGGCCTTGTCGTGGTTCATCGTGGTTCTTGTTTCGCATGAGGTTCAAGGCTTTGACGATGGCCCATGTCATGTAGCCCAGGTCTCGGCTGGAGCCAATCGGCAACTCCTCGCGGACGTACCTCCATTGTGTCCTGTGTGGGTTGAGCCTGCCCCAAACAACTTGCCGCCATGCTTTCTATGGAATTCACATATGCCATGGGCGAAGAATCCATCCCTTGCCTCAGCTTTTCCTGAAGGAGTGTGCCTCGAGCCCCGCTCAGTCTCCGCAGTGGGTCTTCTTCCTCCTCGTCCGAGGAGTTGCCCAATGCCAGGCCAACCTTTTTTCGGGGTTTGCTCCCTTTTCCCAAGGCTTTCACCAAGGCAAGCCTGAGCATTTGGTCCGTGCTCATGGCCTGAGCGCCTTCCTCCGCCAAAGAAGCTAGCTCCTCCTCTGTGAGCTCCTCCCCTTCGAGGTCTATCAAATCTTTGGACGAAGCAGCTGCGGTCGCCCTTGTGCGAGGTGGGGGGCCCGCCAGCCGCGCTAACTGGCGCATAGGGTCTTCTAGCTGCACAGCACTTGGTGCGGTGTGAGCTTCTGCAGCAGTGGGGGCTGGTTGGCGGTCTCCCTGCAGCACCTTCACGTTGGACTGCAAAGCGCTGACTGCCTCCGCCAAGGAAGACAGCTGTGTCAGCACCACATCCATGCCTGCGGGCAATTCCTGCGGTCTTGTCAAAGCAGGCGCCCCCTCGACCGCAGAAAGGTATTCCTCCTGCGAGGGGCCATCTTCTCCTTCCACCCACGCCTGAGCTGCTGCAAGGACTTGGGGGCCATCGGGCTTGGCGACATCTTCGCCATCTAGGAACTGCAGCGTGTCCTCCTCCCACACCACCTTCTTTCGAGAAGCGTAGTGCAAAACACCAAAGTCGGCTTCTTGCACGGACCACTGCTATTGAAGGCTCCGTGAAGCCGCCTTGGCTGCTCACAAATGTCCTCTTGATGGGCCCCAATTCGCCAATGAGGTCGCCAATGCGATTGTCGCTCTCTTCTTCGGCCGAAATGGCCCCATCGGGCAAGCACAGCAGCAACCCCCCTGTCCTTCTCAAAACAGGGATGGCGGCAGCCTTTCTTTCGGGCAACCGGAGAAGCATCCACTCCCATTCAGACCCACTGTTGACCAATCGTAAACTCTTGGCTTTTCTGCTTGTCAGTGGTCGAAACATGCCCTGCCAGAGACGTGGTAGTCTTGAACAAGTGCTGGTGCTAGTCGTCACAAGCTGGACCTCGTCTCAACGAGGCACGCTGACGGCGGGCTAGCCACCTAGTGGTGGCGACGGTAGCCGGCAAGTCTATCTTCCCGGACTGGCCAGTCACCTGCCCCTGCCCCTTCTAACAGCAAGGTTGCCAAAAGGTGTCGCAGCCGTTGGCTGCAAATCAGGGCAGTGATGAAGGCCCCCGTGAAGACTCCAGCTACGTAGCACACCAGGCCAAACAAGATCCACTCAGCACTAGTGGGGCTTCGGTAGGCCAAGGACGTTGAGAGGGTCAGCAACAATGGCTCGAGAATCCGGGCCCACATTCAGGAGTCTCAGCCGAAAATTTCTGCAACCATTGGAAGGTTAGAAAAATATGAAAATGGCATGGGTTGTGCTTGGTGGCGATTGCGCTGTCCCAGCAGAGCTCGGTTCGCTAAAGCGGCTCCCCGTTTTTGATGTACATCCTCGCCGGACGTTCTGCTGGAATAGCCACCACATCCATGGGTTCCGATGCAGTCTGGTGCGCCATAACTTCTCGACTCAAGGAAACAAATGACATGTCCATCATTTGTCTTCATGCCATGGTGAGGACCATGTTGCCATGGTCATGAGTTTTGTGGTTCTCGACTTTGTTTGTGGGTCCTCAGGTTGTGTGTTGTGCTTGTCGTTGTGTGCTGTGGTTGTGTTGGTTGTGTTTGTGTTTGTGGTTGTTTGTGGTTATGTGTTTGTGGTTGTGTTTGTGACTGTGTTTGTGGCTGTGTTTGTGGTTGTGCTTGTGGTTGTGTGTTTGTGGATATGTTTGTGGTTGTGTTTGTGTTTGTGGCTGTGTTTGTGGATGCGTTTGTGTGGTTGCGTGTGATTTTGTGATTGTGTGTTTCTGGATGTGTTTGTGGTTGTGTTTTTGTGTTTGTGGCTTTGTTTTTGGTCGTGTGTTTTTGATTGTGTGCTTGTGGTTGTGTGTTGTGGTTGTTTGTTTGTGGCTGTGTGCTTGTGATTGTGTTTGTGGCTGTGTTTGTGACAGTCACAGAGAACAAGCATGCGCTGGCGTTTGAGGTCGGCAGGGAACACTGCCAAGCGGACCTCGCGGTTGAGCTCCGGCGGGGAACATTGCCAGCCGACGCTCGCGGTTGAGGTCCGGCGGGGAACACTGCCATCCGGAGGCGGTTGAGGACGAGGCGGAGGAGGACACGGAGGAGGAGCAAGGCAGCTGACATAAATTCTAACAACCCTCACCTGACAGGTGGGGAAAAAGGAAAAAACTTCCTTCAAATTCTCCAGTTCGCCTTGCTCCTCCCCATTGCAGCTCTCCACGGTTAGCTCAAGCCATGGAGTCAGGAGATCACGGAATTCGGTGGGTTCAGATAATTGTTTAAAGGTAGCTCGCAGGTGGGTCGTTTGTCGTCAGGCGGGGTCATGGCGCTGAGTAATTACTTTTGCTGTGGGCCGTCCTAGAAGCGCTCTGAGCCTATTGTTTGATTCGTACCCTTACGAAGACTCGGGCTGTGCTAGCGTACGCCACAACTGGTGCGATATCCGGTAGCTCAAGGCGACCGCTTTTCATCTGCTGATCCTCTCCCTGTATCTAAACATAATTTCAACCTTTAAACTTGCTCGTTCTGAGATTCCTTCGCAGTGCTAGGTTTCAGCTTGGGCCAGAACTTTCAAATGTATAATGTGTATTGTACTAATGTAGCAGTCTAGTCCAGGTGCATCCGGCAGTAGGCAGTTGAAATGATCACCAGTTGGTTGAACAACAGCGCTGGCCATTGTGAAGTTGAACTTAATTTGTGGAAGCCATGGCAAAATAAGCATCCGCAAAAATACATCTGCAAGAGGGAATTGTGGGCTGTCGCTTTGCTCCGCTTGAAGCTTCTGGACTTGAAGCATCCGCATGTATGTTAGTATGCAGTCGGGTTTGGAGTGATTCTTCTCGTGAAACCTGCAGGATCAAACGCCTTGGCTGTGCTCATCTTAGACAAAGTGCCTTCCAAAAAATGCAATCACAAAAATTGGACCTTGCAAATTGCAAAACGTACACGTACAAAGCAAAGACTCTTGATAACACACAGCCCCCTAACAACCAGCGTCCTTTTCTGCAGCCTTCGCAGCCCTGTCCAGGCGGCCCTCTGCGGCTTCTCTCAGAACATCGTGCCATCCCCCATGCTTCTCATGCCTATCTAACTGCTACATACTGCTACCGTATATTCTTTGAAACTCGAGGCGCCGACTTGAAAGCCGGCTTTTGCCATGTTCCATTTAGATCTAGGCAATCTATGGCATCCTCTAAACCAGAGAATTGTGGCCAGTATTCTCAATCAAAGCTGTCAGGCAGCTTCATCCTTCATTGTTGTCCCAGCACTGCGTGGAACCCAGTAGGGCCTCACATTGCGACTCGGGGCTGGTCAAACATGAGGCCGTCTGCATTGGTGGCTGAGACAAGCAATGTTCCAGACTATTGAGGCAGCGTTCACTTTGCTTTCCGAAGGGGTATCAAGCATGCCCAAACACTTGCCCGCGCTTCAGGATTTTCAAAGCCTAATTAGGCTAGCCGCCCTTGCTCCGCAAACTGCAACATCAGGTCCATCACCTGCGACCGAGTCTGAAGACGAACATCTACTCTCAAGTTTGTTAAGGAAGGACGCTATATCTATGACCATCCACATTTTGCGCTGACATATTAGCCTCAGAGTCCAAGAGCCCGCCAATCCACTGCGCATGGCAGTCCACCAAGGTCTTGACCTTGGCGCCATGCTCGTTGATTCTTGATACCGCACAAGAACCTACATCTGAAGTCACGCGCGTGCACAAATATACTAATAAAATATATACATAATTTTGCGGCTGAAAAGGGGGGGGGCGAAAACCAGCCTCCGTAAGAAAACATCGATGCGGTTATGGGGCGAATTCGACAGCGCACTGGAACTGCTTTCAGGCACGGGGAAATAGAAGGCAAAAAGCCGCAAAGTCTCGCATTGAGGGTCGACATGATAGGCTCTGTATACACAAGGTCTTGATCAAGGCCCACTCACAGCATGTTCTTGTTTGTCCCCAGTAAGTTTTGGCTGCGCTCATTGATATTCACTGTTGGCGAGAAGTGGAGCCCATGCATTAGGGGAAAGGTTGAATTGAATTGAGCAGGGCATTTACAGTCCGGGGGGATTAAGGTTGAATTGAGCAGGACATTCACAGGGGGGTTGTCTTATTCTGTTGGTGCGTTTCCAAACTGGAAAAGAGCACCCCGAAGTAATTGAGGGTCGCTTGCCTGCCGTTGGTTTCTCCTATCTTGTACCTGGACTCATGATTGCCTAGCATCGAGCAAAGATTATGGGTGTTATGGGGTGAGGTCGACATTGCACTGACCTCTGCGTACCTCTACTGTGTTGGGCCCGGGGAAATAGAAGGCAGAGAGGCGCAAAGTCTCCCGTTGAGGGCCGATGGGATAGGCTCTTTACACACAATGTTTTGATGAAGGCCCGTTCGCTGTTAGCGGTTAGAGGATAGAAGTGGAGCCCACGCGTTAGGAGAAAGGTTGAATTGAGCAGGCGCGTTACAGTCCGCAGGATGAAGGTTCAACTGGGGGGGCCCTTTGCCTTTTGGTTCTAGGGCGTTTTCAACCTGAAAAAGGGCACCCCTAAGTAACTGAGGGGCGCTTGCCTGCTGTTTGTTTCCTCGTCCCGTATCGGACTCATAAACTCGACGCAAGTTTACTGTCAAGCACAGGGAAATAGAAGGCTCTTTTTATACAATGCCTTGATCAAGCCCATTCACTGCCACGCGTTAGGACAAAGGTTGAACTGAGCCGTAACTGAGCTGGACATTGACAGTTTGGGGGGGCCTAGCAAGTCAAAGGTTGCTGACTGCATTCTATTTCCTTCTGTCCTCTACGCTTACATCTGTTGAGCCTCAATATGGGGCATCCTCTTTCAGGAGCAAAGAGGGCCCGCAAATGTCCTCCTGCGTTGTCCGAACGCTTTCTCCATCAGAAATAGGTTCTGGCTTGCACAAATCTCGCCGCTTCTGTCCTCTAACTGGATGGACACGCCTGGATAGCCTGAGCTTCTTGCATTTCCTGTCGCGCAGTCTCCTTTCTTGTCCTCTACCCAAACTCCCACCCCTAGTCAATAGACAGTCCAAATGGTTTCCTGCGCACTTCGTGAGTCCCCTACCCAAACCGATGTTAATGCACTCAGCGTCAGCTGCATCACTTGCATCACCAAGACTCCCTCAAACACACATGTTCACTACTTTCCGGACCACCTCTTTTTCCCGCTCTCCCCCACCAGGCTCTGCACTTGCAACCACCACCCCCCACCCTATCGGCTGGCTCGCAATATATGTACTGTATATATATATTATATATATATGTACATACCGTATTATACAAATATCTTGCCACATCACTCTGTGAATGGACTGGCTTGGGCGCTAGGCCAAGTTGTGCTTGGCATGCCGGGCATCAGTGCTGGCCTGGCAGTGCACCAAACAAATCAGCCTTCCCGGCTTGTCTCACACAGCTGTGAAATCGACTTGTGTAAGTACTTCAAGCCTACGGATACACCTAAAGTCAAACTGCGGCTGCTACAAAGCGCAGCTATAGCCTCCGACTGGAAATTGAGCCTGGGTGGTTGAGTGCCGACTGCACAACGGCTGCAAGGAACTCACTTCATTTCCAATTTCAATGGCAGGAACTTGGTGTCCCGACAAGAGGTTCCGGAGCTCTGGGGACTGCAGGGCTTGCTGTGCTGCCTTTCGGGACCTGTAAGCAGCTTGCTTCAAGCAGGTTCATTCAGCCCCTCACCTCACATTGGCTATCAGAGTCGCAGATTGAAACAGGCACAGCCCCGGCTGGGAAAGACGCGCCTGCAAAGGACGCTAAGCAGCTGCCAAGTATGTGGGCGCCTCGAAGCAAAATATTATAGTAAAGGACAATGATTGAGCTATATATATATATTAATATATAATGGCCCGTGGCTTAAGGGGACCCCCTCTCAAGGCCCCCCTGGAATAATTTATAGATTATCCTGACCCCTAGTCACATTGATGCTGGAAATTATTCTAATATGTCATTCACTTTCAGGAATAATTTCTAAACATCTGGGTGCAAAACCATGTGTATGGTCAACTTCAACTTCGTAGACCTTTTGAGTCCTTTTGGCTCTTCAATGGACAGGAGCGGCGCAATGAACTGGCAAAGCAGCCAGCAACTTGAGGTCAGGGGGAGGAGGTCGAAAGCTAGCCGAATCGCACCGGATGTACTGGTCACATGGTCGGCAAAGCATGTAGTGAGCACATGTTCTGGGAGGAAGGTTGCTATGTACATACTTTGCGCTAAAGAATGTAAATGTGACATCGCTGACTGGGACTGGGAAGGGTACATTGGAACAACCCGGGTGCACTCGTTGGCAGGCACGAAGATGCGTGATCGGCAAATCTGGGGGGTAAATTTCCCCTCCGCTTTTGTATGCCTTGAGGGGTAAGCATTTCTGACATCATACGGACTGTACATACACTAGGGCGTCCGTAGTGTAGGAGAAGCACGGGTAAAAGGT